TAATAATAAAAAACCTTGGGGGATACAGAGGTGAAAGGAGGGGGCACTCCATTTCTTTCCTAAATACTTAAATTTGACTTCTGCAGAACTCTGTTCCGTCTGCCCGCTAGATCACATTCCTATCACATCACAAAAATTAAAATCTTCAAGCTGTAGTTTCCAACTTGCCAATTCTTAGATGAATTAGTACTTTAACCCATTTTAAGGTTAGGATATAGTTTTCCTGGAGCAATGGGGGAAATCTTTGGGAGTAGAGCTATATACTGCATGTAACTTTAGATTTACATTCGCCCTTCCATGACAAAACACTTATAATAGTGAGAAGGAACAGATGTTTCACACTTTCCCCTCGAAGTGCTGCTCTGATACAGCACCCAGAGCTGGGTTTGCAAGATCAACATAGCTCTAGAACTTGGGTGGACTCCTAGGTGGCCAAGGATCAACCATGGACCTTATTGGGGGACGGTTCAAGAACCTCAGTAGATTCAGCAATTACACAGAGAAGTTGAAGCTGGATTTTCCCCATTTTTCTTTGTGGGGGGATGTATAGATCGGAGTGGTTTTCTTTGCTTTGCAAACTATTAAACCCATTTTAAGGTTGGGATATAGTTTTCATGTGTTGCCTATTTCATAATGAAGAGCAACTCTGCAGCAGATCCCCACTTCCACCTTGTTTCATGCGTCACCTACTATTTCTACTTATTTCATGTGTCACCTTCACGCGTCACCTACTATTTCTACATCATCTCAACTCCCAGCAGCTAACACAACTTCCACCCATGTTTTCTGGCAGTGAGTCAAAAGAGTGTTTTTCTCTCTTGTGCTGGTTCAAGCCATGCTGTTTTTCAATTCCTTGTAAGCAACCCCCCACCCTACCCTCCCTGGCTACTGCAGCCTCTCCAGTTGCTGGGTCTCTTCTCTCCATAGGCATTTTATTTTTACAAGTTCAGCTGGACCTTCTAGTTCTTTTCTTTTCTTTTCTTTTCTTTTCTTTTCTTTTCTTTTCTTCCCTTCTCCTTTTTTCCTTTCCTTTCCTTTCCTTTCCTTTCCTTTCCTTTCCTTTCCTTTCCTTTCCTTTCCTTTCCTTTCCTTTCCTTTCCTTTCCGCTTCCTGTTCTCCTCTCCTCTCCTCCCCTCTCCTCCCTTTCTTTTCTTCTCTTTTTTCTTTTTGTGAAGTTTATTGGTGGAACAGTGGCCAATCATGGATACTTCTCCCTCACTTGACTTTTCTGATTAGTGGAAATTGAGAAAAAATTCTGCCACTTTCCCCTTGTAGCCCATGTCTCAGAAAAAAAGGGTAAAACTGAATTGTGTTGCCTTGTTCTCCCACTCTGAAGGGATAAAGAAACAGGATAATCCATTAGTTGGCCTATTTGGTAAACACGCTGGGCAGAAGATCGGGCTATTACTGTGGCCAAAGCAAAGGAAGGGGTTTAGAGAAGTATTTCTTAGGGTGGTTTCATTTCCAGCTGGTTTATGCATGGAAGACAAGTGGCTGAAAACTGCAGTTCAGAAAAATTTTATGGGCCGTATTCAGCCATTGTGTTGAATGACACTTTGGGAGCTGCGAAAAAGAATGGGGTGAAATGAGGATTGTGTGGAGTTTGGTGAAATGTTTTGTCATCTTCACAGGGGGCTGTGGGGAAAGAAATGACAGTAAGTTCAGAATAAAAACTGCATTTTCCTTAAACTCCCTCCACCTTTTCTCCTCTTAATTCTTCTTCTGCCTGTCTTCTCATACTTCATCCAGTCATAAAACCAGCGAGTTTAATTCCAATTGTTTTGAAAAGCAGCATCCAGGTGAAGGGTGCTAGTGAATGGGAGTAAGACACATTTGGCAGAAGAGTTTAAATTAAAAGGTTGAATGGTAGAGGACTGCGACTAAGTCTCTATATCTCCTGCACAGCAGTTTCTTCCTCTTGGATGTTTTGTGATGGAAAGGGGCTCTAGAGTACCAGTTCCTTTATGTATTGCTAGTTTATTAACATCACTTCTCATGTGTTGCTACTAGAGAGTGGGTAGGAATCGTTCTAGATCAGAGATATCAAACTCGATTTCATTGAGGGCCACATCAGGTCAATAGCATGCAAACTTCCCTCCTGGGCTCCATTTTCGGCCACGACGGCCTCCTGCAGCCCTCTGCCAGCAAAAACAAAACTCCATTTTCACTGGCAGACACCATGGGCCGGTCCTTCACTATTTCCAGGGCAGTCCTGCGGGCCAGGTTTAAGCACTCCACAGGCCAGATGCCTTGAGTTTGACACCCCTGTTCTAGATGGAGCAGAAATGAAAACTAGGTCTGTTTTTTCCCCCTAAGAATAGAAGGGAAAAGATATGCTAATTCCCTTAATCCTAGAGAATTAGAGTATTTCAAACAATAAATCTAAGAAAGAATTGTTCTGAAAAAGATAAAATGTTATGGAGGAGAAGGGATTGACACTCTTTTAATTATTGAGATTAATTCTTGTCAGTACATGAGCTCATTTGGCAATAATGGGAAAGTGCTCATTTTGGGAAAGAGCTAACCAAAATAAGCATTTGAAGAAATATAAACTTTAGCAAGATGTCTTGGATTGAAAACGTGTATGCCTTGACATTAGGGACTGCATGGACACCAGCCAATAAGTATTTTTGTATCAGTCACCGTAATTTGACACAGAGAAATGCCACTGGCAAAAGTATTGTATTTAATCTGCAGGACCAGATTGCCATCTAAAACACTGGAAAAATGAGGCCTCAACACAACAGAAGCATAATTGGCGGGGGGGCTTCCTTATCTCTTAAAGCAAAACAATTCCAAATGTGACATCCTTTCTTAAAAAGAACAGTTTTCACAAATCCCTTTACACTGTTTGCACTGGCGCTTTAAATACTCCGTGGAGCCAAAATGTGGTCTGCCTTGGACCAGAGTCCAGGTTCCAAAAAGTCAATTGAAATATCCACCCAATATAATCTGATATTGCTCAGTGACTGAGACCTTATTGTACACCCAGGGTAGCCCTGTTCCAGTCCCTCACATCTTTGCTTCAAAGAGTGAGATCAGGAAGTAAAAGAAGAGCAAGGATTTTTTCTTCCCCCTTCTGTCTGAGATTCTGGAAAATTACTGGAGGCAATATTAGGTTAGAATTGGTCAAACAATCTTGCCTGGCCTGGCAAATCCTTAAATCCGAGTAGTATAATGGTAGATGGCATTTATTGTGTTTCCCTGAAAATAAGACCCTGTCTTATATTTTTTTGAACACTGAAATAAATGCTTCGCCTTATTTTCGAGGAGGTCTTATTATTATGGGGTGTGTGGAGCAAGACAGAGCTCCTCTTGCCATCTTACCTGATTTCCAGCTCTGTCTCCCTAGCCCTAACCAAAGGAAATGGCAGGGACCGGCTGCACAAGCATTTAAATATTTTTGGGGAGGGCTTATTTTTGGGGAGGGCTTATTTTAGCACATGCACTCAAAAGCCCGATTGGGCTTATTGTCCAGGGAGGTCTTATTTTCGAGGAAACAGGGTAGCAGCGGACTGTAGGCTATATTTTTAAAAGTCATACATGAGGCCAGGATGAAGATTACATCTGATTTTAAATGTATTTACTAAAACTGATCTTGAGGCTTCTGTTAAGCATTTCTCCCCTTCTTTCACAATAAAATGTATAGAAAATTTGGGGCATTTAAAAGCAGACCGTGGTGTGGCAGACAGGGCCGGATTTAGATGAAAAGAGGCCCTAGGCTATTCCACTTATGAGGCCCTTTCACCTATAGTGAAAGTGTAATTTTAATTTTGCTAACAATTTGAATGTAGGCCCTTCTTGATCTTGAGGCCCTAGGCTGAAGCCTAGTTAGCCTATAGGAAAATCCGGCCCTGGTGGCAGAGAATTGTGAGTCTGAGAGAAACTAATTTTTTGCCTTCTCGGTTGGTATATCATCAGGAACTCCAGCTGCCAAACTGAGCTAGGTTCTAGGTTTTAAGCATTTTGCCTCTGAACCATAGGAAAGGGTGACTAGAGATGGAGGGAAGGAGGGCAGGAGGCAACCAAAGTGAAGAATGTAAACAAAACAGTGAAGGCAAGCATTTATCCTAAGGCAGTGATGGGTAACCTTTTTGCCATCGCGTGACAAAAGCAGGGGGAATGTGGGGGGGGAGGTCATGTGTGCGTGTGCCCACACCTATAATTCTATGCACCCCACGCATGCACGCACATCCCCCCGCTCTCCCCCTGCTTTTGGCATGTGATAGCACAGTGAGCCTGGAAGGCTCCTTTTTTGCTCTGGAGCCTAGGGAGGGTGAAAACAGCCTTCCCCACCACCCTGGAGGCCTTCCGGAGGCTGGAAACAGCCCATCTGCCGACTTCCAGTCCCACCAGTTTTGCCCTCCCCAGGCTCCTAGAATGGCTCTGGAGCCTGGGGAGAGTGAAAAACTCGTCAGGAAACAGCCGGAGCTGAGCTCGCGTGCCCACCGATATGGCTCCACGTGCCACCTGTGGCACATGTGCCACAGGTTCGCCATCATGGTCCTAAGGAATACAAAGAAACATGGAATGGGTTGAGAGGTGAGAGTGGGGATGCAAGAAAAAGGAAAAAATACAACAAAGAAGTGTACTGTACAGGTATTTCTCGATTTATAACCATTTGTTTAGTGACTGTTTGAAGTAACAGTGGCACTGAAAAAAGTGACTTATGACTGATCCTCATAAGTGTGACCACCACAACATACCCATGGTGATGTGGTTAAAATTCAGGCACTTGGCAACCAGCGTTGTGTGACACTTTCTCACTTTCTCATTTAAGGCAGTGTCTCATTTGTCAGCTGGACATACTACTATGTCCAGTTTTGGCTAAATAAAACCTGATTGCATGTGTTCCAAATTATCTATCACTAAATTGAATCTGTTGATAGGTGTCTGGGTTTTTCTTTTGATGTCGGTCATGGTTTTTCTAGCTAAATTTGCCGTTGACAGGCTCAGTGTGAGTACAAAACTGCAAATAAGCACTGGGCAAAAAACAAAACAAAACAAAATAACCACAACTTTAGTAGTGTAGACAATCCCCAAGATATCCATCCGCCAAACTTCCTTGCATTCCCTTCTCCGTCTCATTGTCCCGAGGCTTTTAGCACAAGCAAGGAGACCTTTTCACAGCTGTCCTCTGGAGTTGCGCTTGGTTTCCTTGGCTGGAGTACGAATATGGGGGAGGCCAAGAATCCAACAGCCTCTGAGAGTGTGGCAGGCCTCTTATCTCCATCCCTGCTTAACACGGTTCCTCCACATCAGGCAGCTACTGGTGTTGAAGAGATGAGGGAGCCAGCTGGCTACTCCTCCACAGGATTGCGTCCTGCAGCAGTTGAGCAGGAAATGAGAAAGGAAAAGTTCTCCAAGCAGGGAGTTCTGTAGAGCTTGACTGTAATTTTATGTGACTTCTTTCTACCTTTGTAAAAAAAAAATATTCTTATTATTTTACAGTCAAGAATAAGTCTGCAGTCATATCCACTTGCTGTCAAATACACACACACACACACACACACACACACACACACACACACACACACACATATATACAAGATCAATCTTACATGGGAAAAGACCCGAATACGCCAAGACTTGCATACCTGTACCCATGAAAATCTACGAAAGCTATTCGGATTTTCTCCCGCGTAAAATTGGAGGTGTCTTGGCAACGTTTCGACGAAGTCTCATTCGTCATCTTCAGGCTGGTATTCTCGGCTTCGTGCTTCTAGGAGCAATGTGTGTGATCGCAGCTGTTTCTTTCTTTTAACTGCCAGTGGGGGTGTGAACTGATTGGGTGGGAGCTTGGCTGTGTTCTGATTGGGTGGAGGTGTGTTCTGATTGGTTGGGGGTTTGGCTGTGCTCTGATTGGAGGGGTGTGTGTTCTGTTTAGGTGGGGGCTTGGTTGTGCTAGGGTTAGTCTGAGTAGCAGGGGGATTTGAGCTGGTGAGCTGTGTTGCTGTTGTTTGGCTTCGTGTTCATGGCCGTGCCATCTCTTCATATTGGGTGTCAGTCTGCTTCATGTATGGATTGGAGGGGTTTAAAGTGGCTAATGATGCAGCCGTGGTCTGGCTTCTGGTCCGTGGTCATGCCTGATCATCAGTGTGGGTTTGAGTCTGCTTTCTGTGTGGATGTGTGGTGGTTACATCCTGTGTGGCTCTCGTGAGTGTGGGTGTCATTCTTTGTGTTAGGGACTCGTTTGTCAATAAGGGCGGGTTTCCAAATGGCTGGCAGGCGGGAAGTATCATCTCGTTTATTCATGTTGTATGAATAAACATGAATAAACATGTTTACGTAGGTAACGTAGGTACGTTTACATAGGTAAAACCTGGCTAGAAAGAATATGCACATAAAAGCCTACGAAAAAGAAAAAGACACACATATATATATATATATATATATATATATATATATATATATATATATACTATATATATATATATATATACATAAATATATATAATATATACATTATATAATAAATATATATACATACATATATATATATAAATATATTATATATATATACACATATATATATACATACACACATATATATATATATATATATATATATATATATATATATATATATATATATATATATGAATGAATGAATGAATGAATGAACCTTTTTTAGCTGACCATGCCAAATCCAGCCCAATACAGGTAGTCCTTGACTTACGACCACAATTCAGCCCAAAATTTCTGTTCCTAAATGAAACATTTGTGAAGTGAGTTTTGCCTCATTTTACGCTTCCCCATTGACTTTGCTCGCCAGAAAGTCACAAATGTGCTCACAAGACCCCAGGACACAGCAGCTGCCATAAATTTGAGTCAGTTGGCAAGCATCTGAATTTTGATCACATGACCATGGGGATGTTGCAATGGTCGTAAGTGTGAAAAACGGTCATAAGTCACTTTTTTTCAGTGCCATTGTAACTGAATGGTCACTAAATGAACTGTTGTAAGTTGAGGACTATCTGTATCTTTTGTTCCATGATGAGAATAGCAGCTCCCTCTTTGTACTCAGGCTTTGTACTCTTGGAAACCAAGATGCCTATTGCCTTGGTATTTATTTTAGCATTGGTGGGAGGGGTGAAATCCAGCAGGTTCTGACAGGTTCTGGAGAACTGGTGGTGGAAATTTTGAGTAGTTTCTAGAACCGGCAAATGCCACCTCTGGCTGGCCCCAGAGTGGGGAGGAAATGGGGATTTTGCAGTATCCTTCCCCTGCCACACCCACCAAGCCATGCCCACCAAGCCACATCCACAGAACTGGTAGTAAAAAAAGAAATTGGATTTCACCACTGATTGGAGGCCTAAAAATATAGTTTTTTAAAAATCCCAGAGATATTTCCTATCATTATCAATGAACTGCAGTATGATTCTCAAAGCAATCCCAGTGTCTGCTGATGTATAAATACATTTCACTCTCTTCAGTTACTTCCCTGCAAGCATCGCTTGCAGATACAACTTGGAAATAAGCATCAGTTGTTTAAATCAGTTCTTCCTCACTATCGCATGTGTCTCTACCCTTAGGAAAATGTGGCATATGAGAACAGAAGATTATTCCTCAACTGTGGGCTGCTTGTTGAAGGCTGCCTTGAAAATGAAGCCATTGTTTGACAAATTCCACCCACTCTATACCATGGGGAGACTCCATAAAACATATCCTGTGCCTTCCATTCCTTTCCAATAATATCCTAAGTATATTATTCTGAAGGAAGGCAGCCCAAGGACTCCTCAGTGCAGTCTGTCAATAGTCAATAGGCTTGGAGGAATCTCCAAAGCATTATTCCTAGGCAAACACTCGGTGCCACCATAATTGAGGCCAAAGGAAGCAACTGCGTGAAGATTAGTTTGGTGGCCCTTTTTGAAGAAGGAAAAGTGTTTCCCACAGGGGGGAATGGAATAGTAGGGAGGAAACCCTCTCTCTCTCTCTCCCTCCTCACCCCAAAAGTAAAGCTCTGTAATGTGAGCTCTAGGGCAAATGTCTTCAGAAAGTGTGTGTATGTGCGGGGGGGGGGGGGGGGGGGGGGGGGGGGGAAGTGGGGAGAGAGAGTCCAGGATAACTACGGACCAGTCAGCTTCATAGCAATACTGGATGAAATTATTAGTCAATTCATGTGCATTTTTAAAAGAAAATTATAGTGGCAGGAGCCAGCATGGATTTATTAAAAATAATTCATGACAAGTAAACCAGATCTCTTTTTGCGATAGAGTAACCAATTGTCTGTGAAAATGAGTACTGGACTTGAGCAAAGCATTTGAAAAAAAAATCTTCTATGAGATTCTGCAAGTGAAGATGGCCTGGATTATTATGCTGTCCTTGGATGGACGTGGGGCTGGTTGATAACCTCTCAAATGTCAGCAATGCTCAGCATCACGATGGAAGCGCTGAGTGATGTTCTGCAGAGCTCTGTTCTAAGGCTTTTGTTGCTCAACGTACTTAAAAGTGGGTTGGACAAAGAAAATCTGATAACCATAGAAAATATGGTTATCAGATGTTCAAGGCAACACAAAGATAGGAGGGACAACAATCCACTCAAAAGACAGTATCAAGATTCAGGGGGTTCTTGACAAAATGGACAAGGGATAGAAACTGACAAGTTGAATTTCAACAGGAACATATAGTCCTTCGTTTGGATCAGGGGTGGGTTCTAAATTTTTTTACTAGCGGTTCTGTGGGCGTGGCTTATTTTGTGGGGGTGGCTTGGAGGTCATGTGATGAGGTGGGCATGGCTAGCTAGTCAGAGTCATTTCTGGAAGGTCCTCGCACTTACGACCAGTCCTCGCACTTATGACCCAACTCATTTGTTTGCTTTTAACACTGATCAGTTGTAGGACGGCCCTTTGAAGCCCCGCGGCAAGAGTTTAAACAGTTTTTTTCCCTCTAGTCATCAGCTGGGACTCAGGAGGCAGCAATAGATTGGGGGTGGAACCAAATAAAAGGTAAGAATAACGTGGGAGGGCGGGGGGAAGAACCGGTTCGGTGATGTCATATTGTCACCGCTACCAGCTCGGCCGAACCGGACCGAACCGGGAGGAACCCACCACTGGTTTGGATAAGAAAAATTGAAGTCATAAATCGAGAATGGTGGGAGATCATATTAGACAGCAGTATCTGCAGGAAGGATCTGGGTGGCTTGATGGATAATACTGAACATGATTCAGCAGTGTGATTCAGCTATAGCAAACAGCAACCCCAAAACAAATGCATTGATAATCAACACAAAATACACTAGTGTTCAGAGACTCATGCTACAACAGTTCATTGTTCGTGATGGGGAAAATCACTGGGATTTTTCAAACTATGTTTTATTTTTATGCCTCCAATGTGAAAATACTAGGGCACTAGATCAAAGTATACCTACAATGTAGCATCCAGTTCTGCATTTTAGGGAGAGCATTGAAGCAATCCAGATGATAAGGAACCTGGAAAGAAAGAAAAAAAAAACTTATGAGAAACAGTTGGTGGCATTCAGTATATTTAGCATTTCAAAATTTACTTTACTACCTCTGGCAGTAGAGCGTAAGGAAGCAGCAGATGACAAGTGGGTGCTTAACCCTTCTCCCAACAGCTGTTTCCTTTTTCCAAAATGCAGAACACACATTTCAGACCCAGTTATGGGGGTGTGTGGGGGAAACTAAGGGCGAACTGCTTCAGCTTGAAGAATCTGGTACAATTACGTTTTTAACAGAATAATAGAGTTGGACAGAACCTTGGAGATCTTCTAGTCCGACCCCATCCTCAGGCAGGAGACCCTACATCATTTCAGGAAAATGGTTGTCCAATCTCTTCTTAAAAACGTCCAGTGTTGGAGCAACCACAACTTCTGGAGGCAAGTTGTTCCACTGATTAATTGTTCTGTCAAGAAAAAGCTGGACCATAAGGGCTGCACTTGTATTTGCTTTGTATGGAACCATTTGGTTCTAATTCCCTTGGCAACAGATGTGCTCAGTCATTCAAGCCCTAGTCATCTCCTGGTTGGATTACTACAATGTGCTCTATATGGGTTACCCGGGCCTTGAAGAGTGTCTGGAAGCTTCATCTGGTGCAGAACACAGCTGTGGGCAGTTATTCGGGCCCCTAGATTGGCTTATGTTACACTGTTATTCTGTGAGCTGCACTGGCTGCCAGTTTGCTTCTGGGTCCAATTCAAGGTATTGGTTATCACCTTTAAACTCCTCCATGGCATGGGGTCCAGGTTATCTGAGTAACTGGCTCATCCCAGTGGCATTAGTCTGCCCCCCCCCACATGCCATCAGAAGGGGCATGCTGTAGACACATCAGCCAAGGAATTTCAGCTAGGGGGTCCAGAAGAAGAGCCTTTTGTGCTGTGGCTCCTGCCTTCTGGAATATTGTGCCCCTCCCCCCTGGGGTCAGACTTGCTCTCACCTTTTTGGTCAACTATGTCAAGGAGCCTGGGGCCCCATTGGGGGTGGGGAACATTGAAGGTGGCTAAGGGAGTAGAGAATAGCTCACTTCCTCCCTGTGTGCACTTGGCTCCCTCCCTCTCCATCCTGCTTAGTTTTATTTTCTTTAATTAAATGTTTCAATTTAAGATCTTTATTTGTCCTTTCAATGTTTTATACTGCATTTGATTCAATGTCTCGTTAGCTGCCCAGAGTCGCCTTTGGCTTATATGGGTAGCATACAAGTCAGATAGATAGATAGATAGATAGATAGATAGATAGATAGATAGATAGATAGATAGATAGATAGATAGATAGATGAGAGAGAGAGAGAGAGAGAGAGAGAGAGAGAGATGATAGAGAGATAGATAGATAGAGAGATAGAGAGATAGAGAGATAGATGATAGAGAGAGATAGAGAGATAGAGAGATAGATAGATAGATAGATGATAGAGAGAGAGAGAGAGATGAGAGAGATGAGAGATGAGAGAGAGATGAGAGAGAGAGAGAGATTGATAGATGATAGATAGATGATAGATGATAGAGAGAGATATGATAAGATAGATAGATGATAGATAGATAGATAGATAGATGATAGATAGATAGATAGATAGATAGATAGATAGATAGATAGATAGATGAGAGAGAGAGATGAGAGAGAGAGATAGATAGATAAATAGAGATGATAGAGAGAGAGAGAGAGATGATAGAGAGAGAGAGAGAGATAGAGAGATAGATAGATAGATGATATAGAGATAGATAGATAGATAGAGATAGATAGATGATAGAGAGAGAGATGAGAGAGAGATGAGAGAGATAGATAGATTGATAGATGATAGCTAGATGATAGATGATAGAGAGAGATATGATAAGATAGATAGATAGATGATAGATAGATAGATAGATGATAGATAGATAGATAGATAGATGAGAGAGAGAGAGAGAGATGATAGAGAGAGATAGATAGATAGATAGAGAGATAGATAGATAGATAGATGATAGAGAGAGAGATAGATAGATAGAGGTAGATAGATGAGAGAGAGAGAGAGAGAGAATGAGAGAGAGATGAGAGATAGATAGATAGATAGATGATAGAGAGAGAGAGAGAGATGAGAGAGAGATGAGATAGATAGATAGATGATAGAGAGAGATAGATAGATGAGAGAGAGAGAGATGAGAGAGATGAGAGAGATAGATAGATTGATAGATGATAGCTAGATGATAGATGATAGAGAGAGATATGATAAGATAGAGAGATGATAGAGAGATGATAGATAGATAGATAGATAGATAGATAGATAGATAGATAGATAGATAGATAGATAGATAGATAGATAGATAGATAGATAGATCGGGGCCAGGCCAGGGACAAAGCAAAAGGACCTTCAGGACCTGCTCTGCTCCTCCCCCTTACATTCTCATTCTTGGATTTCAAATATGTCAGTGTGTTTATGGGATCAATTTAGCTGGAATGCAGGAAAGCGCCTGAGGCTGTGGCTGACTCCTCTGCTGGCTCCAGAAAGAATCAAGCAATGCACTTCCCCCTTCCTGCCCTCCTCCCCAAATCTCTCTGTTTTTTTGACACCCTCGGATTGTATAGAGAGTAGAATTGGGAGCCAGCTGCATATCCCAGAAAGACTCTTGTGCTCTTTTTTTTACAGCTCCCCACCCCCCCAATATTGTTTCTTGGTTTTTTTGTAGCCCCCATTGGGTGATATTGAAGCTAACCTGAAACTACATTGGGAAAATTCCTTAATAGTTGTTCTGGCCATCTTCAAGGAGCCTTTATGCCACCTATAGAAGAAAAGGAGAAAGATTCCTAGCTAATATCTGAGGAGACTTGTTCATTCATTCATTCATTCATTCATTCATTCATTCATTCATTCATTCATTCCAATAGTACATTTGTATGACCATCCATCTCACCAAATTTGATTCTGGGCAGTGTACAAACCAATAATTAAAATAATGTCACAACTGTTTTAAAAAAGCCTTTAAAATATAAATAAAAGTAAGATTGCAGGAGAAGACATCTATCTAAACCCAATACATGTAGAACAATTGGGCAGGCTTTCCACAGGACCCATGCTGGAAAAGCCACGTTTTCAAGCCCCTCTGAAAGGCTAACTGGGATAGGATTAATTTCAACGTTGGGGAAATGATGTTTCATAGGACAGAAGCCACAGCAGAAAAAGCAAATGCTGTCTGGGTCCCTTCAGATGGAACGCTTTAGGAGATGGGATCCATTATATCTCTCTCAGCATACTAAAAAGCAGAGACATCACCCTGCCAACAAAAGTGCGTATAGTCAAGGCTATGGTTTTCCCAGTTGCAATGTATGGCTGTGAAAGTTGGACCATAAGAAAGGCTGAGCGCCAAAGAATTGAGGCCTTTGAACTCTGGTGCTGGAGAAGATTCCTGCGAGTCCCTTGGACTGCAGGGCGATCAAACCAGTCAGTCCTAGAGGAGATCAACCCTGACTGCTCTTTAGAAGGCCAGATCCTGAAGATGAAACTCAAATACTTTAGTCACCTAATGAGAAGGAAGGACTCACTGGAGAAGAGCTTAATGCTAGGAAAGATTGAGGGCAAAAGAAGAAGGGGACAACAGAGAATGAGGTGGCTGAATGGAGTCACTGAAGCAGTAGGCGTGAGCTTAAATGGACTCCAGAGGATAGTAGAGAACAGGAAGGCCTGGAAGAATGTTGTCCATGGGGTCGCGATGGGTCGGACACGACTTTGCAACTAACAACAACATATCTCTCTCCTGATGGACCTAATGGGAGAAGTAAATGTGATCAGGAAGAGGCTGTCCCTAAAACACCCAATAACCTTTTCAAGACGTTTTGGGGCAGAAAGTGTCCATTAGGTTTAAGCAAATAAAGGATTGGACTCAGTTAGATTTAGGCCTGACAGAAAGATTAGCATTTGCTTCTATCTGATAGGATAAGGTTGAACCTAAAGCAGATTTCCTTAATTCAGGGCCCTTCAGATGACATAGCATACGTTTTCCATTATTCTTAGGAAGTATGGATAGTGTACATTGTGGATGATATGAGCTTTAATCCAATATATTTGGAAAGCGCTACTTTGAGAAACTCTGGCCTAAAGGATCACATTGTTCATTGTTGATTTTTTTAATAGGTTGGTAATATTTAAAGATACATCTTCCGTTGTAGCAATAGTTTAGGAAATAATAATTAGGAAGAGTAATTTTCCATTACTACTGGTACTAAGTAAACACAATTGTTCTAGTCTAGAGGGCAGGTTTTCTTAGTCTAGCAGACAAGCAGTCTTGACCTCAGCCCAGGAACATCGTCTTTGTAATCCTAATTTGGTATCAGGCTTTTCTGCCTGGGGATTTCTCTGAAGGACTAGAAGATAAGATAATAGTCCTGTAATGTAAGTTTCATATAACATAGGAGTGCTTTTGCATGCGGGGGTGGGAGGGATTAATTACTGATACTTGCCATGTTTCTTCTTTCTCCAATGAAAAATGTTTGTTTGAGATTTTGCCTTTTTATATTTGCAATAAAGATTCCAGCCAACTGTAATTAAAAACAAAGGGCTGATGGCTATTTCTGTTTAAAATGTTTTGTGAGATGGGCAATTATATTGGATAGTTTAGATAGATAGATAGATAGATAGATAGATAGATAGATAGATAGATAGATAGATGGATGGATGGATGGATGGATGGATGGATGGATGGATGGATGGATGGACGGACAGACAGATCTATTTTCCTAACAGTGAGACCAATCAACCAATGGAACAGCTTGCCTTCAGAAGTTGTGGGTGTTGGAGGTTTTTAACTGAATGTTTTTTTAAATATATGTTTTATTGATACATTTTTTTAAAATAAACATAAAAAGTTCCATAACTATCTGAACAACATGTTGTCTGGGCACAGTTACTTTTAAGTAGAAATGCAACAATAGTCATAATAATAACCATAATAAACATGTCAACTAAAAAGATAAATAAAAATTTTTGTATTGAAAATTTTGCAAGATAGATAAACTAATTTTATTATTTGTGATTAGCTGAAGGTTTTAAGAAGAGACTGGACAGCCACTTGCCTCAAATTGTATAGGGTTTCCTGCTTGAACAGGGATAGATAGATAGATAGATAGATAGATAGATAGATAGATAGATAGATAGATAGATAGATAGATGTACAGACAGAGCTTGAGCGCAGTGTCTTAAACGTTAACACAGTAGGGGCTACTCCAGGATGGGGAGCCTTTAGCAAAAGAGAGGAAAAACTGCCTGATAGAATACTTCATAGTGTCTGTTTGTAAGACTAGGAAGCTAAGAACCTTTCCCTGCTGTTTAGTTGAAGGGCTATCCATCTTTCTAACCTTGAGTCAATTCATAACTACAGTGGCCTGAAATTTGCCACCCCAACTGCCAATCCCTATTCTGCCTATATTATATACATTCCAGTCACTGAGAAATGGTGTTGTCCCGATTATGAGTGTGCAGCATATGGTAGGCAAAGTGATTGGTTAGGTTAATCTGGTTTAGCTGCCCTCTTTTCAGCGGCTCCGCGGCTCCTGAGAAAATAGCCATCAATCACAGTTGTGTATCAGGAACAGATGAGTCTCACTCCCAGACTACCTCTTGGCTACTTCGTGTGCTCATAATCCAAATCTGATCAAGCATCTCTTTTTCTTTTTTTTCTGAAGGAATCACTAAGGAAACCAAATTTTGCAATATTTCCTGAGAAACGCTTCTGCCTTTTTTAGTTACCATATTGCAACCTTCTGCAAATGAAGCAAGAGAGACCGTGCTCGCTTTTGTTTTTGTTTCTGTATTTCTTATGATATTATTTTTATTCCATTTTGTTTTGTTATATCTGCTCTTAATTATTTTATATCCTATTATACTTACTGTCTTTCTGTCTTATATATAGATATAGAGAAATGCGTAAGAGTTCTTCTTTTAGATATGTTATTGCATCTGGCCTTAGGGCTGTAATAAACTGATTGATGGATTGGTATTTCTTATGATGTTTTAACTGTTTACCACCTGGGTCCTTTGGTTCTGGTAGCTTTATAAATCCAATAAATACTAATAATAATACTGGCTGGGCAGTCTAGCACTATAGTACAAAGCCACACAACAGCGGCCCCCATAGCTTCCCCAAACATACCTGCAAAAGTAATCTTAAAATGCATAGCTAAATGTCTATGGAGATTCTCAGTCATCCAGGTCATGGTTGTCCAAAAAGATGCTTTTTCAAGAGGCAATTGGACTTTCTGGTTTTCCTTTGAAGACGTTTTCGCTTCTCGTCCAAGAAGCTGAAGAAGAGCTAAAGAAGCTTCTTGGATGAGAAGTGAAATGTTTTCAAAGAAAAACCAAAAAGTCCAGTTGCCTCTTGAAAAAAGCATCTTTGGGACTTCAAAAGTAATGTATGTAATGAAACTTTTTGATTACTGGCCTCTTAACCACGATGTCTATGACAGGGTATGCTAAAAAATCACAGATACCTTGAGGCTGCTGCTGGGTATTTTAGAATAAGTGGGAAAGACTACTATAACACTGGTACTTCTAAAGACAATTAAACCTCTTATACTAATAGATTGTGGCAGGGGTGAAATCCAATTTTTTTTCCTACCGGTTCTGTGGGCGTGGCTTGGTGGGCGTGATGTTGATTGGTGGATATGGCTTGGTGGGCGTGGCAGAGGAAGGATACTACAAAATCTCCATTTCCTCCCCACTCCTAGGGGAAGGATATTGCAAAATCTCCATTCCCACCCCACTCTTGGGCCAGCCAGAGGTGGTATTTGCCAGTACTCCAAACTGCTCAAAATTTCTGCTACCGGTTCTCCAGAACTTGTCAGAACCTGCTGGATTTCACCCCTGTATTGTGGACAAGCTGAAAAGTGTTGTCCAGGAAAAAGGGTGCCATAATGAAAGATAAGTGGGATCATGGCCTCAAGAAAATATTCCATATTAAGTAGCCATCCTTTTACATTAGAGAATATCAATCCCAAAAAAGTGCCTATTTCTTGAATGACTTACTATATGAACAGCTAAAACAAATCTATATTTCTTTCCATTCTATTTTCCTCATCAGTCCAGCAGGACGTAATGGGGCTAGCATAATATAGTTACATGGTCGTAGTGTGGCCTGCCCATAACTGCTGGTGCATCTCAATCTGGACCATCTAGAATAGTCTCCAAGGGTAGCCCCATAAACTGGGCATTGCGGTTTCCACACATGAGGTGATTGTGAGAAAGGCCTCCCAATTCAGGAACAGGCACAATTGGTGGCACATGAGACAAAGCTGTGTGAATGCCTTCTGGACCAGGGCTTGTCTTAGTTATATTTAATATATCTTCCATGCAGTGGCATGATACTTTGGCCATTCTAAACACCTTGCCATGAGAGGATAATTCTTTTCCAGCTCTTTGAGTAGGGAGTGGTTGAATGCTCTATTCACTTCCATGTAAAAGTACATAAAATTGTCCCCAGTAGATTCCAACCAGTGGTGGGTTGCCCCCGGTTCGGACCGGTTCACAAGAACCGGTAGTAAAACTGGCGGGAGGCTCCACCCACTGATCCGGACGTCATCAGGAAGCTTCTGCGCATGCGCGCAGCCCTGTTGCGAACCAGTAGTAAAGGTAAGTAGAACCCACCCCTGATTCCAACCCAAAGGAAATAAATATAAGAGCACCAAATCATAGAGAGGCAACTGGCAGATTCATCAGAGGAATAGATACTTACGTGAACTTTCCAGTTGCTTAACTTATTTACCTCTTGTAGTACCCTGACAATTCTCTTGTGGCACTCAGTTTCAGACTTGCTATTCTAGGATTTGTAAGTCTTTGGCTTCTCTGGGGTGAAAAGCCCAAGGGCATATTTTACAGGTACAAATAGTCCTTCCTCTTTCCTCCAAGCTGTTTAGTCCCAGTGGAGGGTGAGCTTTGTCATAATGCTGTTTGACTTCCTTACATCACAATAGTGATTTTGTAGTTTGACTTTGGGGAGGGGGCGGGAAGTGGCGAAGGTGAGCTTGCCATCCAAGTAATTTGATTGGGAAGCTCACCTGGGTTTCTTTCATAAACCAAACTTGTGCTGCATATGTTATCACTCCTTCACACAGCTCTGGGTCTGGTTTTTTTTTATTAGCTATGCACACCACCTTGGGTTGGGTGCATCTCAATTTGTGGGAATTGAAGCTAATGATCACAAGCCTTTTTTTAAAAAAATGCAAGAAAAAGCCTGTTCATTAGCTGAAAGTCCATTTAAACATACTCTTTTGTAATCCACTGTGACCACCATTTTCCATTTGTGAGGCCTGAGGCAATTTTCCCTTCCCCTAAACCTTTGGTATATCATATCCAAACACCTCCTAATACAGGTAGTCCTTGACTTACAACAGGTCATTTAATGACTGTTCAATGTTACATAGGCACCAGAGGTGGGTTCTACTTACCTTTGCTACTGGTTCGCAGTGGGGCCGCGCGCTTGTTAAAATAATTGTGATTGGTGAAAACGTACTCATTCCCTTCACTTTTTTATGTATTAGTTTGGCCATAAATATGGGTGTGATCAGTACTAGTACTGATTACTATTTTATTTTTATTTCACAAAAGTAGACACTGCCCATCTCACTATCCAAATGACAATTTACTGATACAAACCATAAAATAATACAGAAAAGACATAATTAAGAACACGTAGGCATCAGGAAGGTCATCTAGGCGGTAAACACTCAGTTCCATCCAGTTGCCCTGACTCTACCCCAAATTAAGGAACTACAGGGTCATAAAAAGAAAAAAAAATGAAAATCAGAATTTGAAAAGTACAGAATAAAATACGAACAGAGTTAAAAAGGCAAGTTAAAAGGCAGAGGGAGCATCCTCAAGCCACCAACCAATACAACAGGGTTGTATGCCATTTTTCAATACCCATGTAAGGGGTATTTATATGGGTAATGCCAACCTCATCTCTGGGGACAAGATAGGGGTCGTGAGTGTGTGTGCCCACATCCATAATTCAATGCGCCCCGCCCTCCCACGCATGCGCACGTAACCCCCCCTTCACCCTGCTTTTGGCACGTGATGGCATGGTGGGCCTGGTAGGCCCATTTTTCCACCTCCCCAGGCTCCAGAGGCTTTCTAGGAGCCTGGGGAGGGCAAAAAGAGCCTTCCTCATCCCCCTGGAGGCCTTCCGGAGGCCGGAAACAGCCAGTTTCCCGACTTCTGGTGGAACCGGAAGATCTGAAAATCAGTTGGCCGGTGCGTGCACGCACGCTGGAGCTGAGCTAGGGCAACACTCGCGTGCCCACCAATATGGCTCTGCGTGCCACCTGTGGCACCTGTGCCATAGGTTTGCCATCACGGGTTTATATGGTGGGGGCAATGGCAGAGAAGACTCTCTTCCTAGACCCCTCCAGCCAAAATTCTTTAACCAACGGGGTCCATAACATACCTTCGTTTCCTGATTGAGTGGGATGGGGTTGTGTATTAGTCTGTTCAAGTGTGATTCTTGACAGGGATCCCTGCCTGTATGTCTTTTCTTCAGGGATCTAGACAGGGGTGGGATTCTGCTGGTTCGCACTGGTTTGGGCGTACCAGTAACTCTGACGATCAGCTGAGAGCGAACCAGTTCGCTCCAACGATCAGGTGGGCCTGCCCGCCCACCCCTACGCTATACTGACCTGTATTTCCTTTGTTTGAAACCCAGCTGATCGGCACGGCAGAGCGGATTGCCGTGCCTCAGCTGTTTTACTCACTGGGGCTGAAGTAAAAGGTATGTTTTAGAGCTGTTCTCAAACGCACCGCGTGCGCGTGGAGCATGTGGGTGGCGCTCATGCGAGCGAACCAAGCATGCACACGTAAAGTGCGCACCCAGCAAATCAGTTGTTACACCGGTTGAATCCCACCATTGGATCTAGGAAGCTTGGGCGAAAGAAATGTGGTTGTTAAAGCTTCAGAGGAAAGCTACTAAGGATTGTGTTCTTGTTTGGAAGACCAAAGGAATGAATGAAGATCTGGAGACTGATGCAAAGATATTAACTTAACTATTGCTGAGCACATTGTAAGCCGCCCTGAGTCTTTGGAGAAGGGCGGCATATAAATCAAATTAAAAAAAAAAAAAAAACTTTTGAGAGAAACATTGGGACAAGCCAACGGCTTGAGTATGGCTACCGATGTAAGATATTTTTAGGAAGGCTGGTTTAGTAAATCTTGGTCCCTGCAGTTTCTTTCAGTAAGGAAAAAGGAAAACATTAATAGTTCCTTAAAGCAAGAAGTACGTCAGCTGCCACCAGAAGTATGAAACCGTGGACTGTGCAGTGCCCAGATGTGACAGCCCAGTGCCCCATTACCCGAACCTGCAAAGGAAATTGTGAACATTGCTGCAACAGGAAACAGTTATCAGCTTCTTTAACGAGAACTGAAGAAGGTCTGTGCCTAGGACCAGTTCCCACCACTGGAACTTCCTGACTTCTCTTAGCAAAGTGCACGCAATCTTTTAGCAAGAAAACGGTGTCAGATTTAGAGGTGGGGCTGCAAGATTCAAACCCTTTCTCTTTCCCACTTCAGGAAACGGCAGGGCATAATGAGGTACTAAAGAAAGTGGAGTCATTTAACTAGCTAAATGATATTGCTCAAGTGTGAATGACGCTGCTTCATGAGAAGTGCAGAGAGGATCGGATACAAATGGACAGACACAGAAGCAATGAATCAGGAAGATGAAAATAAGATAAAGCTACAGAAAAGATGCTTTATGCAAAGTTTACAATACTACTTAATGTTAGTAAAAATTGCTTGGAATCTAGGTTCCTAAGCAGTCTTTGAAATGTACTCCACAACCTGAATTCTTGCTGGATCCCAGCAAGAAAAACAAGTAAATTGGCATATTGATTTACAGGTAATTCTCAACTTATGACCACAATTGAGCCCAACATTTCTGTTGCTCAGTGAGACAGTTGTTAAGTGGATTTTGCCCCATTTTACGACCTTTCTTGCCACAATTGTTAAATAAATCACTGCAGTTGATAAGTTAATAGCAGAGTTGTTAAGGAAATCTGGCTTCCCTATTGATTTTGCTTGTCAGAAGGTTACAAAAACTGATCTCATGACCCTGGGAGACTGCAATCATTATAAACATGAGTCCATTACCAAGGGTCTGAATTTGCTGCAACAGTCTTAAGTGTGAAAAATGGTCATAAGTCAGTTTTTTCAGTGCTGTTGTAACTTCGAACTGTCACTAAATGAACTGTTGTAAGTGGAGGACTACTTGTATAGTATCAACCTGAATCTAAGGTTAGGTGCACTGAACACTTAGTCTGCTGATTTCAAAGGTATTAGGTGCACCTACAGTAATTGTGCACAGACCTGGTCTACAAAAAAGCAAAAGTTTTGTGGCATGATGCAGAGGTATCTGCATACCTCTGCATCATGACTACCTTCCATGTAGTCAAACGAAATGGGTCAGCACCAAAATACCAGCTTCAAAAGAAATACACATATACTGTATTTTCAAGCCCAAGGTAAATACTCCATTGATTATGCTTTTGCCCCATTGTATTAATGTTTGCAGATTGTCAAACACATCAAGCTGCAAAGAGTATTTATAGGATGTAAGCAGTGGTGGGATTCAAGTAATTTAACAACCGGTTCTCTGCCCTAATGATTTCTTCCAACAACCAGTTTGCCAAACTGCTCAGAAAGTTAACAACCGGTTCTCCCGAAGTGGTGCAAACTGGCTGAATCCCACCACTGGATGTAAGAAACGATTTGGTGCAGATAGTAAAAGTTACTCGTTCAGACAGTAAAACTATCAGCTGAAGAAGGGAGAATGACCTCTAGAAAAAGCTAGTAATCCCAAGACTGCCAATGTTTCCTACAATTGTTGAACTGATAAAGACTGACTCCATGGAAAGCAGCTGTTTTTGCGAACAGCCATGCTTTCGTCTGCTGCACAGAACTCTGATGCGGGTTCTTGACGGCCTTTCTAACGTGCCATGCTGTAACCGTAATGAGAATTTTTGCAAATAGGTGGGAAACGTTCTGAAGTGGCACAAACTGATAGCTTTTGGAGTTTTGTATCGCACAGTGCTGGTTTTTGTATTCCAGAAACTGAGCTGTCAGTTTTGCAGGACTTTTGAGACTGCATTTCTCAACTGGGTATTTATTTATATGTTGAATATGGAGGGACCTTGCAATAATACTGCCTCTGCTGGTTTTGACTCAGTGTGTGGGGTCCTGAGAACAATCAACCAGTAGGAAAAAATGCCTTCAGAAGTTGTGGGTGCTCCACTACTGGAGGCTTTTAAGAAGAGACTGGACAGCCATTTGTCAGAAATAGTATAGATCTCCTATGTGAGCAGGGGGTTGGACTAAATGATCTCCAAGGTCCTTTCCAACTCTTTTACTGTTACCGTTACATACTGGCCAGCTTACAGTTGTGTTAATCAACCATTGGCTTAACGGTGTGTTGAAAAAGCAACAAACTATAGTTTACTCAAACCATAAAAGGTGGTGTACAAATTACATGACTTGGTTCATAGGTCATACTAAATCCTCATTTTTAACATATAAGCACCTTTACAGATCACCCTGGCTGGGTTTAGGAAGTCTTGATAAGTCACTAACAGCACACATTATGTGCAATACGTCTTAAAAACATAGTTACTGTACCAAGTGGATAAATATATTTGGAAGTACTGTGTGCGTTGTCTTGAAACAATTCAAAGATAAGCTTTTCTGGATTGTCAAAGAATTGGTTCTTCAAAGCATTGCTACAGATGGCAGACATAAATAGGAATAAAAAAAGGAAGCTAAGAAAGACTCAGTGCACTACAGTTGGAAGTGACTAAATAACTCAT